GCAAAATCTGGAGCTCACTGAGTAAGGCAGTGACTCCTTCACGGGGCACAATGTTGACCCAATAGTCAACCAAAGATTCACTTTTTAATACTATTCTCTTTGGAGATGAGGAATTAAACATATACACGTAGAGGGGAGACACATGTGTTCATGCCACAGGACTATCCTAGAGCCTCTGGAGTCAGGGTCACCCTGCCACCACCTTAACCTCTGTTCACTGAATGATTTTCACCCTCTAACTGGCATATTCTATGGGAATAATTGTGTGCATATGGCAGCCCCTAGGCTGGAGTAAATGATTCCATTGTCATAGGAACACCAAATGGGTAGGATGTGGTCTCCCTTCGTTAAGGACATCCCAGCCCTGCTCCCTCCTGTGTAATGATCATTAGTACTCGACCAGGGATAGAGACACATGACATGAGGTTCTGTGCTGTCAGAGGATGAGAATCCTTAGCACCTTTCCATGAGCAAGGAATGAAACAATTCTGTGATGTCATAGACAGTGCTGGAACCTGGAACTCCTGTCCACCCTTGATTTTGATGCCAGAATGGCATGTCTGTGATGATTGGCCAAAGGAAATGACACAAAATTTCATCTTTGACTTCTGCATACTTACACTTCTCTGAGTTCACTTCCATTGGGTAGATATAAGGGTCATCTTACGCCTTTCTTGGGAGTCACTCGAGTCCAAATTCCTAAAACCTGGAATGGCCCAACTTTCCCAAAACCGGAACTGGCCCAATATACCCAGATGATGCCTTCATGAGCATTCCTCATGCAGAGAACAAGAAGGCTCCCAATGTGGCCCTCGCACAAATCACAGTACATAACAGGGATCCTTCAAGGAGCATATTGCCTTCCCCTTCCTTGCAGTGCATCTGGTCTCATGAAACTTTTCCCTGGATTTCTAGTGTGCCCCTGGCAGCATCGGTCCTGGTCTCAGTTCTGTGACTGTGAGTGAGGAGTTCAGAAAGACCATCGCCCTGTCATCTCCTCAACCCAGTGCAACCATCTCACTTCTTAGGGTTTGTGACACACTCAGGAAGTGGGTCCTCACACTGAGTCTCTTGCACTGTAATACATTGCCATGTCCTAGGACACCAGACCATTAAAGTGCAGATGGACTCATCGAGAATCCTTGGAGGAGAATTTCACTGACACCCCAAGCTTCCTCAACTCGGACCTAAATGCCCCCAGCTGCACTTTGGAGTGGACACCTGTGGAGAGGAGACATCAGTGGGAAGACATCCTCCTTGGCTGTCCCTCATCCCCTCCTTAACGCAGGGCCTGGGGAGTCCCTTACATGTTTGCACTGGAACCAGGAAGAGGGCTCTCCAGCTCCAGTCCATGGTGAGAAGCTGTGCCTTCAGGACTCTGCAGGGGAGGGTGTGGCTGTGGGTGATGCTCTCAGGGATCAGACAAAACTGCATTCAACCTAGTTTACTATCATATTTGCATATTCCTAAGGAAGTTTTGTCACATTAACATATTTGTCTCTTCCTGAGAGAAGTGAAAGGACAAGGGACCGTTCCCAGCAGAAGACTGAGAATCCAAGTCTTGATCACTTTTGGAGGATGTGTCCCGGGCCAGCCCATGAGCTCCGTGCAGACATAGCTCCTCCCCATGAGGAAAAAGTCCCAACAGGACGTTCTGGTCATTGTGAAAACACCCTTGAGTCACCACAGACGAGTGGACCCGTTCTGGGATCGATACATGAACGTCTTTGTCCTGGTTCAGGATGAGTCCTCAAAATGCTGCATCAAGTGTGTTAATAAAACCACCCTTATTCTTTGTTCTTTGGAATTCACATATAAAGAAGCCCTAGAAATAACCACAGTGACTGTTTGGTAAATGCTCCGATCAAATAGGATGATTATAATCTCCATATTCAACTCTTATTTTAGATGTTTCCATGTAAAGATGAAGACTCAGGCCCTCACAGGACATCCCTCCCCAACTCCCCCTGCACCTGCTCCAGGACAGCAATGAGCTCATGGGTCCTGTGCACCCCCTGACGCCCATCCAGTGTCCTGCAAGGAAGGGTTCTATATGGACTCACAGATAATGGACATCTCAATGTCTCTATTCCAGAGTTGAAAGCTCTGCCCTCACTTCAGGATGCTCCCTCAAGGACGCCATGTGCCTCAACATCTCCGCACAGACAACTGGCCTTACTAAACCCCCTTGGCTCTGCAGGGAACCCAGACCCAGGCTCCATGAGCAACCAGGGTGTCCCTTCCCTGGAGCTGACAGATGTACTGATAGAGCTGATACCACTGAGTCCAGAAGCTCTCAGCTTGCTTTGGGGACTCCTGATGTCTTCAGGTTCCTCAGCATGAAGGTCCTATCTATCACTGCAAGTGGTCCAAATCCGACTGCACTTCTACTCTTCAATAAATCTCTCTCTCTCTCTCTCTCTCTCTCTCTCTCTCTCTCTCTCTCTCTCTCTCACACACACACACACACACACACACACACACACACACAGAGACAGTGTGAAGACTTTCATAGTAATGCCCTATAAGTTTCCCGCCTTCCCTCTAAGTAGGAGAGTCCCCACTTGATTTCTCTGCATGGGTGTGACTTTCTAAGTGACTGAGGCCAGCTCTGTGAGGGACACCCTGTCTTTTCATCCATTCTTGATGCTCCATCCTGATGATTATCTTCCCTTCTGACCTCCTGCCCCTGAACTCAGGCCCCAGGATCCTATGTTCAGACAGACTCACTGCTCTGTAGCCCACAGCTGCATCTGTCAGTGGCTGTAGGAACCACTGTCTCCTCCTGCACCTGGCTCTCAGTCCAGCCCTCATGGACATTCCTGCACTGATCAAGGAGACTCAGGTGAGGAGTCAGACACAGCTGGCCTTACTCAGGCTTCCTCTCAAAGGTGGCCATCTCTCGGGTCGTTCATGGAGGAACAGTGGTGATGTCCTTCATTCAGACTTCATGTCTACAAGTACAGAAACCTGGCAAGTACTCAGATTTCACTTATTTCCAGGGACATAGAAGAATATCTGTTTTGATATGTTATGTGTCCCATGGGACTAATTAAAACTCTACCTTGCAATTCCTTATAACACTGTAATTACATTGGTTTAGCAGTGTTTTTATGTTGATAAAGCCCATATATTTCAGGCGCTCTTCCAGGTCCTGTCATAAACAGAATGCAGGAAAATCATGGAGGTGTATCCAGAAGCCTTGCGGGAGACATTCACTGAGGCTCTAGGCTTCCTCACCTCAGTCCCAGACAGCACCAGCTTCTCCTGGGAGTGCACAGAGAAGGAGAGAAGGCGGGGCTCGATGCATGTTCCTCTTGACTGTCCCTGGTCCCCTCCTGAAACCATGAGCAAAGAATCTTCTTTCCTGTAGCCACTGCCACCAGGAGGAGGGCTTCCTAACACTTGTCCATGGTGAACAGTGGTGCCATCAGGACTTTTGTAGGAGAAGGTGTGGCTGAGGTTGATGCTCTCAGGGCACAGAGAGACCCACATTGAACCTATTCTACCTCTTCTCCTTCACATAGTTATGTGGAAAAGTACTTCATACCTGATTATCAGATTCCATCTTTCAGAAGGTGGAAGACACAGGGTACATGGAAAATGAGATGGTGAGGGTTCAAGTTTCAAGCTGTGTTATCTGATCTGTGCCCCATTCTTGGCCCCAGAACTCTGTGCACACAGAGCTACTACCACAGAAGATGGAGTCCCACAGGAGAAGCTCCTCTTTGAAAATGCCTTCAAGTGACACAGAGGCAATCTGGACAGCTCTGGGCTTCAACACCTGTAGGCTTTTTTTGTCCTGGATCAAGGCCTCCAGCCCTTAACATTAGATACAAAGAAGCTATAGAAATACTCCCACTGACTGTGGCTCCCTTGTCCTATTTAGTTTGGTAAATGCTCTGATAGAGTTAGGTATTTTGAGTCACACCATGTTCAACCCTTCTTTCAGATGTTTTAATGAAAACAGGAAATCCCAGACCCTCTGGGAACATTCCTCTGCAGTTCCCTCTCCACCTGCTCCTGAAGCCGCAGTCCTGAGATCATGGGCCCTACATGACACCTGCTGTCACATCTGTGTCCTGCAAGGGAGGGTCCTGCCTGGGCTGACAGGGCATGGCCTTCTCAGTGTCTTGATCCCAGAATTGAAAACCAAACCCTGAGTTCAAGATGGTACCTCAGGGACACCATGTGCTTAGACAAGTCAGGATGAAAAGAATTGCCCTTGGTAAACACCAGTGACAATTCAGGAGCTCCAACACGGGTCTCTGTGCAGACACTAGGGAGCCCCTTTGCTGGAGCTCCCAGGTGCACTGCCTCACTGACACCTCTGAGGCAAGAAACTATCAGCAGCGCTGGGGGCCACTGAGTCCTTGGGTCCATCAGCTTGTAGTTTCCATGGGAGGATCCCTGCACAGGACTTCCATGCCACTGCAGTTCTACAGCTCAATAAGCCTCCCCCCCTGACAACACACAGTGATAACTTACCAGGTGATATCCCCAGTTATCCTTTCTCCCCTGTTCCTAGCACAGGGGCAGGATCCCCACTCTCACAAGAACTACATCAGTGACCTACTTTAATGACAGAAAAAAGCAAACACGATTGATGTGAAGACTGGAGAGCTCCCTCCCTTGTGGTTTCCTGTCCTCCCAGCACCTGGAACCAGCAGAGGCCATGCTGAAAAGGTCCTGGCTTGTCCTGGGGAGGTTCAGACCCATGGAAACATTGTCAAGTCAGTGTAGCCAATACTGACCTGATTTAAGGGTAGAGGATCTCTGACCTACAGTGTACAGGCCCCCATTCTCAGAGTGCACTGTCTGTAGTCTCAAGGGTACTAAGAAAGTGGCCAATATACCAGAGTCTTCCCAGGAGCAGAAGTAGGTGCTGAGGCAAGAATAGTGGAGGCAAAAAATTAGTTCTGACATTTCAGAGTCTGTGGACGAGTGTCAGTGGAGATTTTCATGGCTTCTTCTGGTGTCCCAAGGGACCCTGTAGCACACTATTCCTGTTTCCTGCAGGGAGGTTTGTGTCTGGGCTCTTGCTGACTTCCCCTCACTGTGTATATTCCACCTGATGCACAGTAGTACACAGCTGAATCCTTGGTGTTCACGGAGCTCAGCTGCAGGGAGAACTGGTTCTTGGAAGTGTCCCTGGTAATGGAGGTTCGGCTCTTGAATGATGGTCTGTAGTAAGTGCTTCCACTATAATCTATGCTCCCGATCCACTCCAGCCCCTTCCCTGGGGGCTGCTGGATCCAGCTCCATGCATTACCACTGGTGATGGAGTCACCAGAGACAGTGCAGGTGAGGGAGAGGGTCTGGAAGGGCTTCACCAGTCCTGGGCCTGACTCCTGCAGCTGCACCTGGGACCAGACAGCTAGAAAAAAAGTACATCAGTTCTTCTCAGTCATGCACAGTAAACACCAACCCATTGGCCTATTTCTGACTTCTGAGACACTCACCCTGGGGGGCTGTCACCAGGCACAAGAGGAGACCCAGCAGTCTCATCTTCTACACACACGTCTCTCTTCCCCAGAGACTCAGCCCTGTATAAGGAGAGAATTGTGAGCCAACACAGCCCAGAGGACAATTTAACCTGGAGCTGAGAAAGAAATTTGCATGTTGCAAACTCTATTCTCATTACAAGGGAGAGACTGAGACCGCTGTCCATTTGTGCCCTGAGCACATTTTTTTTCACTTTGACTTGATGGTGTAGGTCAGGTATGGATCAGTAGCTGGATTATGAGTCAACTAAGAATCATGCCAATGAACAGCACTTCTTTCTGTGTTTAACAGTTAAAGGTGGACTGGATAAGGGATCACACAATTTTAATTTCATAAATGATTCAATTGGAAATTAAAAAAGATTAACATTCACCCAAACATCTGCCCAAGTAATAAGAAACACATGAAGTAGAAACATCCTTTCCAGATTGGATAATCATAATTTCATATGAAAGGTAATATGACGTACATTTTCATGTAAAAATAATGCAAATAAAAGAACAGCCTTCCCTTGCCCTGGCTGAGACCCCCGTGTCTGCAGGTGGCAGAGCAGGTGCAGCCTGTGTCTCATTCCAGCTCCAGGGCCCAGGACACACAGGTTAGGACCTGCTGCCCAGAGTTCAGTTCAGACTCTGCACCTGGCACAGGTGTTAGACACATTCTGTACTTCCTTTCATGTCCCTTCCCCCAGGGTATTGCACCCCTTTTATCAGGGGAGCCGCTCAGGAGGCCTCCCAGGTTCCTAGAACACATGGAGCCCTGAGCCCTGGGGACACCTTCCCCCAGAGACACAGGCTCTGATGCTGGGCCAGCAGGTGTCCTGAGATGTGTGAGCACAGGACTTGCTTCCTGGTTATAGAAGGTCAAGTTGGAACCTGCCATCCCCATTTTCACCTGAGAGCCTGGAGTTTGCACCCTTGATGTTGATGTCCTGGAAAGGAGAGTGGGAGCTCATGATAGGCCCATGACAGATGGAGGAAAACCAATTGCAAAGTACCTGTGGCTTTTATTAAATCACTTAAATGAAGTGAAACACATGATGGGACTCAGCATCATGGCAAATCCTTAAAACCACGTTTCTTTGCCTGAGTCTCACACATCCTACATCCACAGAAACTCCCCACTGTAGTTCCCATCATCTAAGAGTACACAGGAAAGACTGGGGCACATCTGACAGACTGACGACATCTAAGGACCCGATGAGAGATGTCCTAAGGTGACCAATGTCTCAGGAGATTCCCCCTTTGCCGACAGGAGTGGTGAGAGTGATGGGTGGGTGTAGTTTCATGGGACTGAGGTGGCATCTGTGATAGCGATGGCATCACTGTCCTGCAGGTGCTAGGGGACCCTGTCAGCAGCACTGGCACTGGGACCCGACTTTTGTGACCAGCATGAAGGAAAGGGAGGTAATTTATAAGAGAGAGGAGCTGTGAGAACACCTCCTCCAGAGAACAGAACACCTGTGCCCCAGTGTACACCTGTGAACCCCTCCTGTCTCCTCCTCACACATGGAGAACTGTGCTCCTGTTCAGGGCCCTGGCCAATCCACTGTGTCGTCACCTGCCTCAGGGGGCCTCTCAGATGGGACATGCCCTCACCCCTCACCTTTCCCTGTGACACTGCCCAGAGAGGCATTTAAAGTGGGCACATGGGTGTCTTTGTGTCCATGTTTTCCAGGAGCTTTAGAGGCTGAGACCCATAGAAGTGAACATGTTGAAAGCCTTGTCTTTTTTTTTTCCAGCCCTGTGCCAGGTTTGGTGCTCAGACGATGTTGCCAAGTAAAATTCATGGGAGAAAGTCTCTCCTGAGAAGCATGGGCCCATTCCAGGCAACATGATTTTGTGTGTGGTGAGTGCCATGCACAGATGTGTGTTCCCACAACTCATCGTGTTGACTCTTTAAGTCAGAGAGTGCTGGGCCCTGGTGACATGTGAGCCTCATTACATCTCCCTCAAAAAGGCCCTAGGTACTTGTCATATTCTGCACCCTCTCAGGTCATGACTCTCCCACTATCCTTGATCCCATGCCTCCACCTTACACACTGCTCTCATCCAAGGAACCACCCTCGCCCAGAGGCATGGGCCAGGCTCTCCCTCTTTCCAGGTTCCATTTTCTTGGAAATACACATGAAGCAGTCACACCTCTTCTGAGGGTTTTTCCCCAAACAGTCACCAGGTGAATCTAATTTAAGTGGACATGGTGATGTTAAATACATTCAAAAGTTTGTGCAAACTGTCACCTTCCAAGCCCAGGATTTCTCACCTTCCCACACTGATACGGTGCCCTTTAAATAACAACTCCCCATCTCCTGCCCTCCAGCCCAGTGACCCTTTCCATGTTCTGTGTCCTCGCCCTTGACCCTCCATATCTCACAAACCTAGAAGCACACGACCACTGTGGTGGTGAGAGTGGCCTCTTCCCCAGGCATTTTGTCTCCAAGGCTCATCTGTGTTCTTGCACTTCTCAATGTTCTTTTATTTTGAAGGGAGGATGGTGTTTGTGGTGAGGACAGAGCACATTTTGCGATTGAGTTTCTTCAGTTGCTTGTAAAGAGGTGACTTTTTTCTTTTTTCCTGACCAGAAAGGAGGGGCCACAGCACAGGGGTGGCAGATAACAAACTCAGTTGAAAGGAATCTACAGGTGATCACCTGAAATGGACAGGAATCTCCAGTGACAAGAGGCTGTGCTGAGTTGGGACAAATACTAATAGTTTCTGTAGTGAGTTAACGGTCCTCTGCCATGGTCTCCCACCCATCCTGGAAGCAGCAGGATGAGAGCAAAGGGAAAGGAGGGATCCAACCTGAGTGACAAGGAGAGGCTGACAGGGACCATGGTCAGGGTCCACCTCCAGGTTATACCTGACTCAGCCTGGAGACCCTGAGACTGGGACACACATCCAGCCAATGCCCTGTGGCTGTGAAGAAACAAGTGACTGTTAGAGAAAGGAGGTTCAGAGGAAATGGAGAACATGTATGTGAGGGTCACAGAGTAGTGTTAGCATTAGTTCCACTCCAAGGTCACAGCCCTGAGATGGAGGAGGAGCCCATGTGCCCTGGGAGCTGGAGGCAGGAACAAAGCTCATGTGGATGATCCTGTTCCAAGGCCATCAGGCAGGAGAGTCCCATTGGTCCCCTGCAGGCCAACAATGGTCAGGCAGGGCTCACCCCATAAAGAAGGGCAGCCAGCTTCACCCAATTCACTGAAATAAAATAACCTCTTAGAGCTCTGGCTGGTGTAGAACAGTGGATTGACCGCTGTCTGCAGAATAAGTGTCATATTTTCAATACCTCATCAAGGGACATGTCTGAGTTCTGGGCTTGGTCCCGAGTAGAGATGCACAAGAGACAATCACACATTGCTCAATATGTGACCGAGTGGCAGAGAGGAAAGCGGATCACTACTCTGAAAGCAGACAGGGAAACTCAGGGATGACAGCGTGGGCCGATCACCCTCAGGTGGGACAGACAGTGCTGTGTGAGGAAGAGAGTGTGCCTCAGCACATGGATTCAGAACTGCCAGATCAGCACTGCCTTGCAGTGTGTGTGGGGTTCATCCTTAGTCAGGGCTCAGTGAGAATCCCTGAGATTTGTTGTTTGTCAGCCAGGAAGAGAAGACTGAACAATGGTAGGGGGGAAATCAGGACCCTGATGACAAGCAACCTTATCTCCAAACCCAGTCCCTTCCTACATTTTTTTTTTTTGCAGCTGAGAGTATAAGATATTAAAGACATAAAAGGAAGCAAGAATAGCTCCAGGGAACAAAAGAAGGGGGGTAAATCAATGATCCTAATGGGCAGGCAGAATCCCCTCACCACACCTCAACAAAATTAAAACCTAAGCCAATCTCCTTTCCTGGCTCTTGCAAATGCATCTGACTTACAGAAGGGCCTTTCTTATTCCTCTAGAAATTTATCCTATGTGATGATAAACCTTCCATATCTCTTCAGTGCATGCATGTTTGTCATCAGCCTGGACATCCACACAAGCTGTTGTTGGTCTATCGGTCCTGTGTGGTAATACCTAGCCTTGGAGATGTGAGCATGACACCAAGTCAATGACCATCACCACTGCTTGGGGGGGGCGGTTACCATATGGCATTTGTTTCATTTGCCTGTGGTGCCCACTGTCCAGAAGACGCGTGTCCTGCTTCAGGCTACCTTGGACACCGAGCTCTGTGGGGCTGAGATACACTGATGGGTCCCCCGAGGCTCAGCTTAGATTCAGCTGAGGTGGATAAGAAGGTTAGATGATTTATTGGAATTGGGCACAACAGCTTCTGAGAGAGACTCTGGCTTCTGTCCATGTGAGAAAGTTGTGTATCTTTACAACAGACTTGTGCAACTTAGAGACTAAATAGGTGAGTGCAGAATCAGGAATGCAGAGAGATTTCTTGAGGGAAACTCTTACTGGAAGAGAAAACCATACAGGAAACCAGCACAAAACTCCCAGTGAACTAGCTCTTTAGATGGTCCTTTTAATCAGGGACCATGATCACCCCCTGGTGTTCCCAGTCTCTATCGCAGGGGAGTTTCTGAGTTTAGGCTGACGTCCCCTCTGTGTCTGTAGTACAGTGATAAACGGTAATGTCCTCAACTCTCAGGCTGCTCAGCTCCATGTAGGCTGTGCTCATGGACACATCTGCAGCCATGATAACTCGGCCTTGGAACTTCTGTATGTAATTTGTACCACCAATTTTAGGGTTAGCCCTTCCATTCCACTCAAGGTCTTTTCCTGGGGTCTGTTGCACCCAGTGCACCCAGTATCTGTAGGAGATGTATCCAGAGGCCTTGCAGGGAAACTTCACTGAGACCCTGGGCTTCATCACCTCAGCCTCAGATGGCACCAGGTTCTCCTCAGAGTGGACACCTGTGGAGAGGAGGCAGCAGCAGCTGGAAATGCCCATTGAGTGTCCCTCATCCTCTCCTCATTCCATGACTCTTGAGTCCCTTACCTGTAGCCACTTCCACCTGATAGAAGGCTCCCCAGCTCTAGTCAATGGTGAG